ATATATATATATATATATGTATATATATATGGGTAATATAGAAAACCGAGAGAGTACATCAATAATAGAAATACATACAAGGAATAGATAAATAGATAGAGAAGGAGAGTGTATTTGTATATGTGAAAGAGAAAGGAGTAGTAAAACAGATCATTTTTTGTTCTCTTTTTTTTTTTTCAAATGTATCCTATACACACACACACACTAGACGTATCGCCAGAGGAAGAAGTATTTCTTGTCACTAATAGTACCGATTACTAGTTGTTATCGTTATTATTGTTATTATTAATAATGATAATTATTACTACAAGAGGAGTGTTTTCCTAATAAAAACAAATTTCAATGAATAATAATAATAATAATAATAATAAAAAGGAAACACTAACTATGATAAAAAGAAAAAGTGAAACCAAAAAGAATATATAGAAAAGTCGACACTTTCTCTCTTTCTCTCTCTCTCTCTCTCTCTCTCTCTCTCTCTCTCTCCAATCAGCCCCACCTCAAATTCTCGTTAGTTAGTGGATAGTGAGAAAAGGATGACGCAGCAACTCTTCACAACTTGGTCGATCCTCCGGATGTACTCGCAGGCAAAGTGAGAGAAAATTCTCCAACGCCACACGAAGAAGCATCCGCCGGTGTAACTCCCCTTTCGTTGTGGTATCATGTGAAATGGGATCCATCAGAGAAACTTCACTCTCTGTCTCATCTAGTGTGCTCTCCAGACGTCTTCGTTTTTCTCCTACTTTTTCTTCTTCGCTTTCTTCTTCTTCTCTTGCTGCTGCTGCTGCTTCTGTTATTGTTATTGTTCTTCCTCTTCTTCCAATCTCATCATCACTATTACTATTATCATCATCTCTCCCAGCATCCCTCGCTGAACTACTACCACTACTACTACTACTACTACTATGCATATGAACAGACGTAAAAGCAGCAGGATCCGAAGGATTAGCCGTAGCTCCATCCATGTGAAGTGATAACCATTGCCTTGCCTTTTCTGCGGTGTGTACAATAATAGGTGGTAGTGGGAGATTTTCCCTCGCGGATGCCATTCGAAAGAGAACTCTTAACTTATCCTTCGCTACATGTCTCCACGGGGCGGCCCCAGTTGCGAGTTCCATCACGACACATCCCAGTGACCACACATCCCCTGCGGTTCCAATGCGTTGACGTTCAAAGCGAATCATCTCAGGGGCCATATAAACAGCCGTTCCCCGCAATTCCGTAATATCATTATCCTCTGCGAGAATTTGAAATGGCACTGGTGTTGTTGCTGTTGCTGCTGGGGCCTCTTTACACTCTGTACTATTATTACTATTACTACTACTATTCTTATGATTATTATTATTATTATTATTATTATTAAAGGCAGCATTAGAGGAAGTGGTATTCTCATCTGTTCCATTTAATGGATGCTGTGCTGTTTGGTTCTCACTTAAGGAAGGAGCCACAGGCTTTTTTAGACGCATTGAACACCCAAAGTCTGCCAGTCGAGCATCTCCATTCTCCGTTACGAGAATATTAGCTGTTTTCACATCTAAATGCACATATCCGTGAACATGAAGAAAATTTAATGCCTCTACTGTCTGTAGAGTAAAGCGTTGGATCTCATGTAAAGGAAGAACTGGCATTTCCGAAGATTTATTATCTACACGTAACTTGGATGTTGAACTCGATTGTGAAAAAGAACTATTCACATTGGTTTTCTCTAAATCTCCTTCCTTATTAACCTTTACTTCTCCTTCGTGTTGTTGTTGTTCTTCTTCTTCTTGTTGTTGTTGAAATTCTTTTTTCTGCTGAGATACATATTCATTATTCACAGTCCCACTTCCTCCACTTCCACTTCCACTTCTTCCACTAACAACAACAACCGAAGATACAGCAGTAGAAGAAACTATTGGTGGTTGTGGTATTCCATGACTCATCATATAATCCAGTAAAGATCCTCTTGCACAATATTCCAAATACATAAGAACAGAGTGTCCACGTTTTTCAGTTCCATGAAAACCAACAATCCACGGCATACGATGACGATTAGACATTGTTAATACTTCCAATTCTAATTCTAATTGTTTTAATCGATGACGTAATTTTGGATCTTTGGAATCAAACATTAATTGTTTCGCTGCAAGAACTTCTCCTGTTTCTGTGTTTAGACATTCATAAACTTTTCCACACCATCCTCCTCCTAAGAAAGCACCTATACGTAATTCCCCACGTCTACCCGCAACTCCTTGTAAACGAGGTCCTGTTGTGGATTCCAACAATGGAAGTGGGGCAACGAGATGCGTTCTATTACAACTACTACTACTATTACTACTACTACCTCTACTACTAACAACTACACTACTGCTATTTCCATTATTACTACGTGTGGTACATATCTTTGTATTTTCATATCGCATCGTATTTAACGGACAACAGGAGCTTTGACCACTTTCTTGTGAACTAAGAGGTGTTGGAGTCTGCCAACGTGAAGTAGAAACATTCGTCATAACTGTACTAGAAGGAGTTACAACTCCAGAACGTGGTGAAAACTTCAATGGTGGTAAAGGGTGAGTATCAATAGTACGTGAAGAACCATGGGCATCATGATATGTTAATGAAAGTGAATAAGAAGCTCCATCTTCTGTACGGTGCCGCACAAATACATCATCTACACGACGATCTCGTTGTTGTGGTTGTGGTTGTGGTATAATAGTATTAGTAGTAGTAGTATTAGTAGTATTAGTATTAGTAGTAATGATTTCTTTAGCAGTCGTCATCATAGTTGGGGTTTGTCGATTTAACTGTAAAGATGCATCTTCTAAGGTTAATGAACAGACATTATCCGATTCTCTAGGCGATATACTTGCCAATTCACCTCCTGATGGAACATCCAGTATATGTGGAGATGAGATACATTCAACACTACCTGATAATGAAGTAGATTCTATTACCGCAGTGTTTGATTTCGTATTGGCTGGAGCTGTGGTAGTTGTTTCTGAAGGACATCGTCCTACTGAACTTCGCAATTGTTGTTCAAGTCTAACTTCAAGACTTCGCAATTGTGCCTCCAGCTGCGGTGGTCGTTTATGATATACATCTCGTCTATTTTCATCCTGATATTCACTACTCAACACTCCACATATATACGGAGAAGAAGTATTATTATTCTCTATAGTATAGGAATCATCATTATTCTCATTATCATTATTATCATTATTATGGTGATCCATGATAAGATCTGTCTTATTTGCATTTTCTGATGTATTTAATAATCCTCTTCTATCTGTATACAAGTCATCTTTCTTAATATGAAGAGGAGCTCTACGTATACAAGTAGTAGTAAATGATAATTCCCTTCTTTGTTCACTCTCTGTAAAGTTAAAACCACTAAGAGATTCTATATTTGGTGAATATCTTAAACTAGCGGCTCCCACTAAATGTGAAAGTGTTTGTCTTAATTTTCCCCAAGGCACATTTTCAGTTTCTCCTAATTGTCGTTTCCAGTCATATCCACGTAGTGGTGGTTTATATTCCTCATATGAGTTTAATGGCATTTGAGTACTACTACATCCCCCAGCATCTCCAAAGGAGTCTGGGAAATATTCATTTAACATATCACTACCAGTTGCTGTCATATCAGGAACCCCAGCAGAGACTACAGAATTCATAGATGGTAAGGAATTCCAATCTAACGCATTATTACTTACTTCACATTCAATCTCATTATGAACAGAACTACTCATTTCAGGTAAAGTTAGTAATCCCACACCATGTCTAGAAGGACAAGTAGAAAGAAGTACTGTTGGTGTATTCGCACTGCTATTATTACTAAGATGTTCACTTAATGTCCTCTTAAGTGAAGAAGATCTACTCCCACAAGATGTTGGACTTAATGTTCCTCGTCCTGTTACTACAGTATGTTCACAAACATTATTACTATAATGTTGTTGAGAAGATGTAGAATGATGCATTTGATAATGTCGACAATTACAACCACAAGGTGAGGTACATGGGGAATTCACATAATCCACAACATCCACAGCAAAAAGTGCCATCACTTCCTGTCCCATCTCCGATGGTGTTGTTGTTTCCTCTTTACTTGTGGCCCATGGTGTTTTGGTGGATGTACACACCGTCGTGATCACTGTTGTATGGGAGGGATCACTACACTGTTTAGATGCGATATTTCTTTTTTTTGTTGTTTCTTTAGAGAGACCCGGTGCGCCCTTCCAGCGGGGGGAGCCGGTGGAGATGTAAAGCGCGAGGGCCGTCGCCGCCAGCGCCACGGAGGCCCCCACCGCCACTGGGACGGTGGGAAGTTCGGTAAGGAGCTGAAGGGCAATGGAATACCCAGAGCGGCTGGGAGCGGGGTTGGGACCTCTCACAGACATTAATAATAATAATAATAATAATAATAATAATAATAAATAAATAAATAAATAAATGATGGATGGTTTTTT